GGGAGGGAGAAAAACATCAATGATGAGAGAGAATGATTGATCTGCTGCCTCCTGCATACCCCCTACTGGAATCATGCCCTTGTCCAGAATCGAACCCGGGACCCTTCAGGCCACAGGCTGATGCTCTATCCACTGAGAAAACCAGCTAAGGCCCCGGTATCCTTTCATAGCCACTGCCCTTTCCAACAATGCGGAGAATGAGAAAAGGGACACAGGGGGCCCGTCCAGCTCCAACATGCTGTGATGCTTGCCCATCTCTTCCAGGAAGACCTCCTTACTTGTCAGCCCTGTCCCACTTTACCCATCCCCTTCCCCATCTGCCAATTTTGCAGATGTAGTGGCATTAGTTTCGTGGGGTTGGCACTCTTTTCTCCCTCCTCAGGGCCACACAGACAGTGTCTCCAAGTAGCCTGTAAGCTCCTTGGCAGAGATCAGAGTTTCTTTTCTCCTGAGGTCCTCCTGTCCCAAGCCCAGGTCTTCCATTCTAAGCAAGTGTTCCTCAGACGCCCGCTGGCTGCATAAGTCCCTCAGATGTCCAACCCCTAGAGTGTAGCTCTAGGCTCTCCCTCAGCCTCTCCCAACCCTACTTCCTGGCCTTCCTGCTGTCTGGCTCCGAAGCCCAACCTGGTAGACTCTGGGAGGGCGTGGCTCTGAAGGAGCTCGCCTGTAACCACGCCCTCCCTGGCTCTGAGACTGTGATCACTTGTGCTGCTCTCCCCGGTGCCAGCGCTCAGGGCCACCTGGCTGTGGTCAGTCAGACCCTGAGTCCTCCAGCCCTCTCAGCCCCTGTGGGGGCAAACTGCGCTCAGGGCAGCCCGAGCCTCCCTTTGATACCCAGTGAGGACCAGCCAAGAACTTGGCCCCAGTCTTTCTTTAACACTCAGCTTGCACAGCCTCTGGTGGTGACACGTGCTGAAGGTTTGCCGAGGTTCACAAGCCTTTACCCACAATTCCAAACTCCAGACAGCTCTGAAAACTGCCGAGCGTTTGTACAGTTGGGAGGAACTCACGTGGCAGAGACCCGACCTGAACCGAAGTGAGAATATTTACGGTCTTGATTTATCCCAATACGTAGATGCTTCTCTGCAAAGATGAAGGGTCTGATGATGGGTGCTGGCCCAGACCTTGCTGGGGATGTCATGTTATACACGATGTATGCATCATATCACCTTTCTAAAATCTGAAAAGTCTTCCATTCGGAGGTGCATCTGGCCTCAAAGGGATTGTAACTGTCAAGAGAGCAGACCTTCTCTGCTCTTGTCCTAAAACCAGTTTCCTTGGAAATTCCAGCGCTGACTGAACATGGGGGTCTAAGTATGTCCTGGCTCTTTAAGACTCTTCACCCCCCTCCCCTCCTCAGTCTTCATCTCTCCAGTGAGGGGTCTGGCCTTGAGGCCACTGCCCTTACCCCCAAGCGCATCTCGGCTGCCACTGGATCCCCATGGTAGGCCAGGTGGGGCTGACTCTGGTGTCTAATCAGGCAAGTCTCTGCTCTCTGCTTGGCTTTTGGCTCCTTCCAGATACAGGCCAGATCCTGGCAAAGCAACGTGTGCTCCAGAGAGCCAAGTGTGAGCAGATGAAAGAACAAATGTGATGAGGTAGAGAGGAGGGTCCTGGGGGAGAGGAAGGACCAGGGAAAGGGAGAGGCGACTGCCCACCCAGGCATTCACTGCAGACCAGGAGCAAAGCTAAGGTCTGTAAGGGGGGGCGGGGCGGGGGGGGCACTCAGACCACAGCAGGGCCCCAAGACCTCTGTTTAAAGAGAGCTATGCATGAATTGGAGACATGAGCACATGAAGAATTGGGTAACAAATTAAGAGTTTAAGACATGAAGTACAGCCCAGCCAGTGTGGCTCAGCAGTTGAGCATCAACCCAGGAACTAAGAAGTCATAGGTTTGATTCCCGGATGGAGTGCATGCCCGGTTGTGGGCTCAATCCCTGGCAGGGGGCATGCAGGAAGCAGGCACTTGATGACATTTCTCTCTCTCCCATCTCTAAAAAGTGATAAAAACATGAATATATATATATATCACACTTTATATATATATATTCATGAGAGAGAGAGAGAGAGAGAGAGAGAGAGAGGAAGTACAAGAGATCCCTATGATAGAAGCCAAGTGAAAGGTTGGGTCTCAGAGGGCCTGAGCTGGCCAGAGGGAGGCAGGCCTCAGCTGGGGCTCAACAGGAGTATGAGGCAGAGATGACTAGGTTGGCTCTGGATTCTGAAGAGTAGAATTTAAATCTTGGTGCTCCCAGCCACTAGCTACATGGCTTTGGGCAAGGCACTTGGTCTCTCTGAACTTTCCCCCACTCACCTGAAAACGAAGATAATTGTGTCAGTACCTACCTCCTAGGCTGTCAGAATGGTTAAATGAGAGGATGTGCACATAAAGTGCTGACCACAGAAGGATTCCAATTATACAGTGACTGGGTACAATTGTACAATGGGCTAAAAACGAAGAGAGGAAGGAGCAAATGTCCCTAAAGATGCTCCTTAACTTGGATGCTCTAAGTCAGATCATAAAATTTCTCAGACTCCTTATACACAGATAGCATTTCAGCACTTTTATATGCATTTATTTAACCCTCACAACAACCCCATGAGGTAAGGATGAACCCATTTTATAGATGGGAAAACTGAGCTCAGAACAGCTAAATGACTTGCCTGGGCCACACTTTTGCAAGTAGTTGGATGAAGGATTTGAACTCAATTTGTGTGACTTCAAGACTAGGACCTTGGGCTGCCTCCAATCCTACTCAGGCTGAAGCCGAGGTGGTGTCCCCTCACAGTATCTGGCCCGCCTCCTCTTGAGTCCAACATCTACCTGAGCACATAAGCCTAAAGGTACCAGGACCTCTCTTACTTGGGAG